ACTTTCTAAGAAATTAGTACTCAAATATCATAGGAATTCCTCGAAATCTCTGGAATTTTTCTACTCGAAATGCTAGCTGGATCTTTGGTATCTTTTTTCTCCTCTTTGCGAATAGTCTTTTGTTCCTGATGGAGGGAAGGTGAGGAGTCGGGGAGAGCTTCACTCTGCAGGGGCGGCACAAGGTGGGGGGTGTGAGCAGAATTAGTGGGTTACCTTATTCTGGGGTTGGGGTGGGGGTACTCACAACAGCGGGGGCAGATTAGGGTAAAGTGTAGGATGAGACATACTTTGGGAGGGAACTGTATGCCTCTTTGGGATAATGAGGGGGAAGGTGGGACCGTCCCAAGTTGGGGCTGTTATGGGCTGCCTGTAATTTGGTAATCCATCTYAGCGGAGGCAGCTTCGGGGCAGGGGAAAGGTGGGGAGGGGGAGACTAACTGAAGGTATATCGTTGTCATCGTCAATGTCATTTCATACATCCTGGTTTTTTGAATTGCTCAAGACATAGATTTCAGAGATGATAGAACCAGCACCGATATCTGCAGAGTTGCCTTGTTCTGTGTCTCTGGTTCGTCGATGCCAGAACGACGCTGGCCGGAGCTGGGGCGTTGCCCTGCAAATGGCAATTGGCAGAAGTATGAGGCCTTGTAGAGAGATCTGGGGATTTGCTGAGGGAGGAAGGGAATCCAGTGACGAATTGGGGAAGCTGCCTTGACGACCTATGGGGCTAGGATTAGTCTTGTGGGTGAGAACAGGTCAGCTATGGCGGACATTGGTGAGTAGGGCATTGTCTCTGGGATGCAAGATCTTGGTATAGGGAGTGCTAGGAGGTGCTCGAGGTGAAGGAGGCCAGTGGTGATGATATAGCATAGTCCTCTATTTTCCTATCAAAATCATCATCAGTATAATCATCTTCATCAACAACATCATCACCATCTCTCAATGATGTTATATTAAGTTTTCTGGTGTTCTTGATTTTAATCRACAGCATCTAGCTTTCTTCCACACCTGGGATATAGGATTTCAGAGATGGTCRAACCCGGATCGATATCTGCTGAGTTGTTCTTTTCTGTGCTCCTGTTTTGCCGACGCCAGAACGACGCTGGCCGGAGCTGGGGCGTTGCCCTGTAACTTGCTTAGGCAGGAGTGTGAGGCCTTGTAGAGAGATCTGGGGGTTGCYGAGGGAGGAAGGCAATCCAGTGGTAAACCGGGGGGGGCTGCTAGGTGGCAAGGAGAGATCAGCTATGGGAGACATTGGTTAGGTTGGTTTTGTCTCTGATTTACAAT